GTCGACACGTCTTCTTTCCTATCCAAACACTGTTTCCAAAGTCACTACCGGTGAGCCAAATGGCCGAGCCATCATCACGCCAATATCCAACACGGCCAATTAAATTTTAGCAAGTAACGACACAAATATCTGCCATCAAGCAAGTAGTGATTCCTACCGAAGAAAGAGCCAATGATTGCCATAGGTGTGTGGTAACCCAGCAAGGGCATCCTCAAAATGCTGCAAATCCTTGTGTATTATGTACCCGTATTTGATGATATATCTGAAACGGCAGATATGATCATTGGGACAAAAACGTTTATACGCCTTAGCTTTCCATCTCCATCGCGGCTCGCTCATAAAAGATAAAAGTAGACACAAGTCATCCGAGCCTCAGGAAGTAATTGAGAGGAAGCAGATGGGATTGCTGGGACAGGAATTTTATTCACCCAATGTTTTGAAATCCATCGCGGTTCTGTTCCTAGAGACGATAGCGGAAACGGGGTCTGACGATGATTTCGAACATGAATTTTGAAACATCAGGCGACTACAGTTCTTGTCCCGGGGATCGCCTGCTCTTCTTCCTACTTACTCCTTGGTGCTCGTGTTATATGTGTCCACGGTTATTGTCCGACCGCAATTGCGTGATATTGAGGCCAACGCTAAAAGGAAAGCAAGAAAAATCTTTTAGGCTGTTATTCCCTGCCATCTTCTGCTTGGACACATAAGAGCGTTTTAGCAGGATCGTACCTGGTAGTTGTACGCGCTAGAGGTTCTATTTTACCTCTTCAGTAAACTGCGTTTCATAGAATTCTTTTCCTTGATTGAGCTACGAGTCGTTACAATCACCGAGGCCATTTAAGATCAGATTTGTGTCACGCTTTGGAAGTACGCACGCTAACATTCCCACGAATTCACGATTGAGCAAACCCGAAATGCATGATCGCATTTTGCGGGCATCTGGTTTGTTTCCATCGCGGAAATATTACAAAGTCTAAATCGGGTGAGGATTGCCCCCGAGGTCGGCATAAATGTGTCTTCTAGCTTCGCAGTCGGTAAAATTGATGGAACGTTAAAAGTACACAATTCCAGCTACTTGCACCAATTTATGATGCGGTTGTGTGCGCACTTTTTCGAGTACATTGCTCCCCAACCCCCACGTCAAATAAAAGAGCAAAACCCTGTATCACCTTTATATATGTGCGTGCGGTTTTCGCTATTAACCCATTCTCTGTATTGGACCGTGCTTCGGGAGGATCCGGCCAAAGTTAGAATGTGCAGGGGAGGTCGCTTTTGAGAAGAAGGATATGCGATCGCAGGACTGCCGTTTCGGATAGCCACACGAACCCCTCGTCAGACACGGCCGCTGATAAATCTGGTGGACGCACAAGGAGTGTACTGTTTTTAAGGTGATATGATTGCAAAATCACAAAGATGCCGCCTCTTGAATCCATTGCCCATGATCGATTTTGCTGCGACGGTGACCTGTTACCCCGAATTTGAGCCGATAATTGACCCAACTTCACTGCCGTTGTTGGTGCTTGGCATCGGAAGTGCTGTTCACCGGTAGGCGCCCAGCGTACCCACGTACTCCACCAAAGTGAAGATTTATTTGAATAACTGTTGTTACCTCCTGTGTCTGGTTCAAGTGAGAACCGTTTCTTCTAAAGTTGCCGTGGCAACCATTCTGAGGATAACAGGCATAGCCGTCATCATCCTTGTCTAGCAGACAGTGTTAAACAACATTATTTATGCGACATTTTGTACTTCCTTTAGGTAAGGCTTGCTAACCGGCGAATAAGCACTCTTCCTGTTTAATATTCACGTAGGACCGGGTTGGCTGAACAGACAGATTCGCTTATCAGCGGTTTCTCAAGCTCAAGTTAGTAAGCGTCAGCTCTAAGTGCTTGAGGGAAGTACATGTTTAACTACCCTAGCGATTGCAGGGAGCCATTTAGGTCAAGCAGTATCTCTGGAGCAAGTTCGTATGACTCTGAAACTTCCACAGGGGTAGTTGAAAGCCATTGACCGTTGAAGCTGAGCCTCGTAACCCTGTTGGTGGCGCGGAAAGCGGGACCGTTAGAAAACCACCCGTCCGGTTGTTACCTTAGAATGTAATGTGCCATTCTATAAGTCGGGCAGGAGAGACTCTGGTACTAGGACTGAGTTCTTAATGGGGCCTAACCATGCTGCTTCGGAGAGGACGTTAGTCCTGTGAAGAAGACTCGCAATAAAATAAGTTGATGCGAGAAAACTCGCAAGGAGTTAAGTTTAGTTGCCAGTACAGCACGCGAAAAGCCCATCCTTTTTGATACGGGACGGGTGGTAATGAGGGTTAAATGGGTAAGACATATCAGGAGAAAGAAAACATATAACAGTAGAGCGTTTAAATGTAGAATGGGTTGAAATAATTATTGAAATAATCTATTTTTTGGCAACAAAAAAGATCGCCATGAATAAAATATGCGACTACGCCAAAATCGGGAACTGCACCAATTTGCGGAACAACGCAAACAACTACGATTTTCCTAGATTACCGTAGAGTGAAGAAAAAAATAAAATGAAAACCGCATGCCCCTAATAAATCTAGGACAAAACTAGAAACTTAACTAAAACAAAACTCAACTAACTGAAGAAAGGTAAACTAACATAAGCCAAACTAACTAAACTAAAAGCTAATCTAAAAATAAAATTAAAGAAATAAAACATAATAATGAACTCAAAACTAAACTAAAAACTGAACTAAAATATACATTGGTTAAGTAAACCAAACTAACTAACATAAGGCAAGCTAAACTAGTAAGGATTTTAGCTCCAAAGGCAACTGCATGTGGATAATACATTTAAAACAATAAACTTAAACCTAGGTAAACTAATTGAAGGTAAACTAAAACAAGCCAAACTAACTAAAATAAAGATAAAGCTAAAACTAAAATAGAAGCAAAAAACTTAATAATACATTAAAAAGAAAACTAGAAACCAAACAGAAAAAACACCATTAACTATAACTATAACTGTCAATAAACTAGTAATGGCTTGCTATTTTTCAACATATTAGATAAGTTAATCCATTCTGGAACCTAAATTAAACTTCCACCGAAAAATCAGTAAAATTCGAGGTTCTAAATAGTGAGAAAGGTTCGAGGAGGAGAGAAGGAGCTCGCGAGAGCGAGAACCCGAAAAACCTGCAAATTCGTTGTGCATGCTAGGCATTAGGTTGGTTCCGCAGTGTCTGGTAAAACTAGTTTTCAGGCCTTCAACTGCAGTTGGTAGATTTCATTCCTTACAGCCAAGCCTTTGTAGCTCAAGTGGCTAACACACCGCTTGCATCCCGTCACATGTCTATTGTTGCGAGTTCGAGACCCACTGAGGCCGCCGCAATTGCCATCGTCGGATCGGTTTGTTTACTTAAATCTGTCTATAAAGGGCACACAAAATGGGCGTTGGTAGTTATTTACTGGACTTTAAAGGGATTGGTTAGAAAAAAAAACATATGGTGTGTTATCATCCCGTTGTGGCTCTGTGCTCGGCCAGAAACTCCGTAGGAGTCTCTCTCACGTGTTTGTGCTCAGAACATTAAAAACATCCGGCGAACTAAAGAAGAAGGCACTGCGAGTTGTTGTCCCAGACAGCAGTGGCCGCTGGCGAAGGCCTGAGAGAGGGAGACAGAGAATGTGACACAGAGGTGACAGCTGCTTTAACAGGTTTATGGAGCAAGGTTAAATGTTGACAAATCGGTCTCCGTGTTCCATTCCCCCGAGAGGTGTTTTGCCTAGTGAAAACTGCTGCATTGGCCGAGGAGCGGCGTGTTCAAGTGACGCTAGGGCAGCCAGAGCTAGTTGGACACAAATATGTACCCGAGGGGAAGTTGATTAAGAGGCTGCAGGTCAGCGAGTCTAAAACCGCCCACTGCTAAGTTGAATGAGCTTTAGTCAGTAAACCTTGAACAGGGAAGCTGATAATAGCAATAGTGGCTAGGAAGAGAGACTGGAGCGGCCAGTTCTGGTTTATTAACCGTCATCAGCCAGCCATACCCAAACGTAGGTGGTTTACCACCGTATGCTCGAATCCACGACCGGCTGACTAGAAGTGCAACGGCCCAGTCAATGCGCTACAGATGGTGTGTTTCTCAAAAACGCACCTTTTTCGTCTTCTTTTGGGAAGGATATGTGAAGACCATGAGATAGAGTGAAGTAGCCTGAAGATCAAATCAAAATCAGGCGGTGGAGTTGCCTTCAATGTTCACAAAATCTAATTAGTTGCTTGATGTACTACGTCTTTTTTCACGCACATTACGTTTTCGATATGCCACCGCTGAGAAACAGTTCACATTCTCCGGCAAAAATCAGCGTTACTGCCCAGTCAACCGATTGCCTATGTTTGTGAATAACCCCAGACCACATCTGCGTATTTGCGCACAGTCCTCTTTTGCAGAACATTCATCTACAGGGGAAGAAAGTTTGCAAGTACAGTCTCCGTCACCTTGACGCCTGATTATTATCGGTCCATGTAAAGTAAATCAAGCGAGATATGCATTATCACAGTACTACCAGAATAACAAAAAC